GAACATTCAAGCAAAGATGTTAGATACAACAATTAGTAATGAACATTCAAATAGACTCCTTAAATAGATAATATAGAAAAATTACCTGTGTAGTCAATTGTACACTCTTTTTATAATGATTTATAGAATTAAATTACCAAAAAAATTATTAATAAAAGTCAAAAGACCAAAAAGGTCATCTTAAAAATATATATATATATATATTAGTATATATCAGTATATTAATACTAAAAAATAATAAAAAGTTTAACCCATATTGGGTTCATTAAAATGTTGCTAGTACATTAAAATTTTGCAAAAAAAAACTTTTAATTAGTATTAATATACAGAAGACAGTTTAATAGACAAAATTTTAAGTTATAAGCAATTATTAAATCTTCTGATTCTGAAATTTTTTAGACTAGATTGTTCTAAATCAGATATTGAACAATGTCTAACTGTTCAGTAGCAATTTTGTACCTTAGACCATATTAATCTTTTACCTTAATATAATCATTAAAAAAATTTAAAAAAAGATTAAAATTAATTACAAGCAACAAAGTAATTGTAATCGATTTATATTAATTATAATTAATTGCAATTACTTAAAAAAAGTGACCATTATCAATTGTTATCAAATATTATTGATTATAATCAATTTTTTTAAATGATTGCAATCAATTATAATTGATATAAATTAATTACAATTACCTTGTAGCTTGTAATCAATTTTAATCTTTTTTAAAAATTTTCTGATGTAAATACTTTAATATAAATAAGTAATAAAGTTGATGTGATGTAATGACAGATGATAATGTTCTACTACAGTTTCCATAAGTATTATTGTAAATGGCAGTATTTGCTTGTATTATTTTTGAAAAAATTAATTAAATGATATATAGCTAGAAGTTGTTTGATTGGTTAATGCAAATCAATTGTCTAAGTAACTTTTTATATACTTTAAAGTACTTTTTGAGAACATAACATTTTACCAATATAAAGACAAGATTTTTACATATATTGCTTTGTTTGAATACTAGAAAGAATGTCAGTAATAAAAATCTCTAAAGCTAATTGGAACCTTCGAGCACTTGTTAATATACATTATGCAAAAAAAGATCCACTTTTCATAACTTTTATAGAAGGTAAAATATAATAAAATATAATAAAATATAATAAAATATATCATTGTCTATTTGACCTTGCAAAGTTTAAAATAAAAGTAACTAAAATTTTTTTCGGCTAAGAACTTATTTTGAATAGGTACAAGTATATTAGTAGTAAAATATATGGGTTTACACGAAAATTGCTCTTAAGTAACGTTGAATAAATACCAACGAAGCACTTGTCACAAATAAAATCAATAAAAGCTATGTTAAGCTATTGAAAGAATCTTTTTACTGTTTGTTAAAATACTCGGATATTTTGATGGGTTGGTTATTGAACGATGGGATGGTAACTGTAAAGGCGAAATCGGAACAATTTTTCAAAAAAAGACTTATAATTAAATATGCGTATTTCGTAATTTTCTACATACTAATTATAAACGAAAAGCTGGTTTAAAAGGCCGTTTTTGTAAAAATTCCTTTGTAATAAATTTTCGTATGAAATTTTTTTTGTAATCCCTCGATCATGATTGGCTAATTTTGGAGTCAAAACAGACTATTCGAAAGAAACGTGGAAGATTTGGCCGAAAACCAGAGATTTTACTGCCACTAGGATCCCCGGAGTATGGTTAGGTTGGTTTTTGCTTCAATAAAATTCACAGCCATTTTAATTATATGAAAGCGAATGGTCTTTATGCATAATAGATTCATTGAAGGCTTTACTAGTACGTACACTTAACATCTAATCAAGAGGTCAACTAACTATTTAAAATCAAGAGGTCAACTAACTATTTAAAATCAAGAGGTCAACTAACTATTTAAGGCAGTATTGGCAGCTTTTTCAAAACGGCTAAAACTATTAAAACTTGTCTTATCTGGGGAAGGAAATCGGTGACTACCAATACTTATTTACGTATGTGTATCGGTATGTATGTAAATTTTGGCTAAAACTAATCCTGAAATAAGTGTTGTCTTCAATGTTGATCATTGCGATTAAGAGTCCGGGTCTTGTAGTTTCGGTCACAATCCTTGGTAATGTGCTTGCAGCCCAATCATACAATGTACATGTACACGTACATACGTACATATACGTACTTATAAAGAATAGGGATGTTACCGATCCAGTTTGACCTGGCTTGGTCTATTTTTAGCCTAGTTTAGCCTTTTTTGGTTTAATTATATTTTTCAGTTCTAAAATTGTTTAGAAAGTTAATACGTAGCTTAAACTTACCGTTACGGCCGAATTTATAATAAAAAAACAATCTAAACTGGTCTCTAAAATTAGAAAGCAATTAAATAAATAAATCTTGAAAACATGATTTGAATATGCTTTTGTAACAAGTTAAGATCGGTTTATGATCACAGTATGAACTATTTTAAGGCCAAATAAGATCAATTTCTTATAGGTTCTGTCCAGTCCTATGACGGATTGCAGTCTATTGGACCAAGCCCGGACCGGATAACGTCCCCAATAAATAAAGAATATATTTAAAGAAAAATATATTTAGAGAAAACAATATAAATTTTCAGAAAAATGTGCTTAGAGCTAAGGGTACCGAAAATTAATTGCAATTAATTGCAATTTTGTTATGATAAAGGTTTAGAGTACATCATCTGCTCTCTGTAACACTGTATGGAACTTTTGCGCTCATTGAAACCAATTTAAAAATAAAGATTTGGAACGCTATTTGATATATGTGTCTTCGTAAAGAAATGTAAATTAAGCAGGTTGTTATAAAAAAGAGATCGCTTAACATCTTTGATTTTTTTATTCAATTACGTATGTTTTCTTTTTAAATGGTCAGTAAATGTACTTCTATCACACATTTCGCAAACTCTGACAAAAATTGCAATTACGTATTGATTAATAGTGGTTGCGCCACCAATTAATTGAGATCAAATAATTGCCTTCACAATTAAATTTTCGGTGCACCTACTTAGAAAAAGGCTGTGAAAGATTTGAAGATCATCTCTAAATTTAAATTAAATCCTTAATCTTGAGTTTGCATGACGCCTGTAATACGATTTCACCTGCAATATGACGTTTATATAAATTTTGATTACTAATAAGTAGCACCTTATCTTAATAGGCTCAATAAAGAATAGATTGGTCTATATGATCAAGCCAACCAATCAGGTTTTCGGTCAACACATTAAGACAAAAACACTAAAATTAAATTTTATTTTAATGTACGAAAAACTTTGTAATTCTTGAAATAAAATTATAATATAGGTTTTAAACTTTGATAATGAGATTGAGTAAGCGAGACCCACATATAAAAAATTACAAAGAAAAGTTTGAAATGAGGCTGTATAAAATTACTGATTTATATTATACTTCTATAGTTATTTTCAAACTAGTCTTATCTGTTATGTATTTCATTAGAGAGAATTTTAAATAAATCATTGTCTTACTACTTCACTTGATTAGTTAGACGGCGAAACCGCCGTCATGTGCCATATTACTTTATCTTAAAGAACATATTAGCTGTCATAAGGAAATTTTCGTTTAGTTTTCCAGGTAATTTATTCATACATTTTGAATTACTTTTGACGACACTAATCCAAATCATTTGCAAATATTGTTTATAATTTAATAAAACGCTAACGATTACTATATAAAAGAATCTAAAAGGATCAAAAATTTCAAACCAAATTTATTTCTGGAATGAGATAATTAGAAGTGTTTTATTCACGACCGCATTATTACGTTAGAATTAATAAACTTTTATCATTAACTATTTAATTGAAATATGAGTAAGCTTATAATAAAAGAAGATCCGGGTTTAAATATGAGCAATCCTTGCGTAATAAGTCCGCTTATATATTGTATGCCGTATGTATTCTGTATTACAGTCTAAACTCACCTATATAATCACACCCTCTTTATAAGTACCATTTTTTGCAAAATTATTGGCAATTTATTTATTAAAAAAAACTTTATATAATCACATTACTATTAGAATTTTATCTGTACCTGCCAAAAACTTTGTGTATACAAGAATTTATAAATTTTGCATTTTTTTTTATAGTTTGTTATATATCATCTAAAAAAGATTTCATTACAAAATTTATGACAAGAGCTAAACTGATCATATCTACTTTCTCAACAAACCTTGACATTACTTTTCTATTACATACTTACAAATTAGTTATGCTATTCTATTACATTTTCAACAATGATAGCAAATTCACACTCAATTTTACCTGTTATTCAATTTTTAATTCTGAATAAAAGTCAATTGCAAATACTATTTCTACTTTTATAAAAATATTCTATATCTCAAAGATAATTTGTTTCATCTAATCTGTTAGTTTTATAATTTATTACTTAAGATATTATAAAAATTTATTCTTTTTCATTAAATAAACTAGCACTAAAGTTAACCCGCTTTTTATACTAGGGATGGATAAATTTGCTTTGTCTTCTATAAAAAAACGGTAATGGTGCATTTATGAAAATTAAAATCTGCTATTATATGAGATTGATTTTTATTGAATCTTGGGTCTGCTTATTCATTCGTTCGAACAAATATACATAACTTGCATACAAATTAGCATATACGTGCGTTATATATTTGCTAAAAACTTGATCGCAATTATTTACATAAACTCATTTATAATGTAATAATATGTTTAGAATGATGCATTAATTGATGTTAAAAGAAATCAATAATTTACTATTGATACATAAAGTAATAAGCTATTAGCTTTTAAAACCTTTCCTTTACCGTAAAAACTCGAAATAACGACCATGGGCATGATTTCGAGGTTCGGCCCAAACTTAGGCCGAAATTTGTAATTTCACACTTGCGCGTTATTTCGAGTTTTTACGGTATAATCTTTAAACGATCTTATTTGTATCTCTGTTTCTGCAACTAACTTATTCATTGAATATGCCACCCGAGAACTCTCTTAATTTCTTCTAGAAGTTTTAGTAGGAACGATATTATGTTTCTTACATTTATCAACGAGTAAAGCAACAATTTCTTCAAACTTATAAACAGGATTTTTAATAGCATCATGGGCCAAATCAGTAAGTTTTTTAACTTCAGTATCAGAAACTTTATCCATATTGTTATCCTCTTCCTTCAACTTCAATTGAATCCGATAGTAACTTGTACCGTCAAGATCAGCCAAAAGTTTCATAGTATTGTCATGATTATCAAGCTCAGAATTAAATAAAAGATTAATCAATGGTTTTATCCACTGAATAACACCACAATCTTTATAATCTTCTAGAGGTTCTTTATGATAACCAGTACCGAGCGAAAGTACAACAAATTTCGAGTTCGGATACTTTTTTTTTGCTTCAAGATAAGCTTTGACAGTTGGATTATTCGAAAAAACACCACCATCTATGAAATAATGAGAACCTATAAGTTTTGCAGGAAAATATGTTGGAGCAGCAGCACTTGCACGTATAACATCTTTCATATAATGTTCTTTATATTCGGGGTTATAATTTGTAAAAAGTGTATATGCACTAGTTGTGATATTATAAGCTGGAATGATTACAGTCACATCATTTACAGTTTCCTCGAGTTTATTATGTTTGAAACTTTTTTCTAGTAAACTTTCAAATCCCTTAGGTGGATATTTAGGCATCCAAGGATTAAAAGCATTTACTAAATCCGATAAATGCTCCCATATGCTATGATGATTTTCTTTATAAATACTGGCTACTTCTTCAGATTCAACAGTGATTGTATCGTCAGGTATAGCAATAATCGTATCTTCAGATTTATCATTAATTATATGTTTACGTGTAGAATTGATTGTTGTAGTATTGATTATATTTTCCGATGTAGCATTGGTTATATCTTCGAATGTATCATTAATTGTAATTTCTGGTGTATCATCAAGTTTATTCTTGGAAGATTTATTTTTCTTCGTTCTAAGCTTGTTTATAAATTCATTTTGTATATCTTCAGGTTTAGTATCATCAAGTTTATTCTTGGAAGATTTATTTTTCTTCATTCTAAGTTTGTTTATAAATTCATTTTTAATTTCGGCATCACTTTTTTTTTTCTTTTTATTCATAAACTTATTAATTATAATAATTCTCCTGAATTCCCTAGCAGCTTTCCTTTTTTTGGAATTGTTAATATTTTTTTCTTTTTTATTCCACCAAGAAAAGTTGAAGAAAGATTTTTTGGATTCACTAGTATTTTTAGTAATAATATCTTTGTTATTCTCAGCGCTAATTGAACCAATAGGAACAGTCACAGCACCAATTAGTGACTTAACCATATCATAAGCAGAAAGGTTCGGTATTTCAGGTAATTTCGGTAATAGTTTATCGACAGACATAACAGCCGAATAATCAGGAAAAACATCATAACCATGTTCTTTATAAAAATCCACGATATATTTAGCATCGTATTTAGGACGTTTGTGTTTATCAGGAAGCGATAAACCCAAAGCAAGTATAGAGCCAGTCGAAGTACCAGATATAATTTCAAATAAATCAGCACATCTTATATCAACATCAATATCTGGGTGATCTTTTTTTATTTCTTCAGTCACCCTTTGTTCTAATTCATTGAGGATAACAGCAGGGATTAAACCTCGAAAACCTCCACCATCAATTGAAAGAATAAATTTCGTGTCTCTTGCATCTTCTGATTTTATGTCTTTCGTGTCTTCTAATTTTGTGTCTTTCACGTCTTTTAATTTTATGTCTTTCGTGTCTTCTAATATTGTAACTTTCGTGTCTTCCATAGTCTTTTTTCTTTGTTTATTTTTGAAAATTAAAGAATTATAATATTTGACATTAAAGTTATATTTTCTGTAACGAATTTGTTCTTTTTTTTTATGAGAAAAAAAAAAACTTTTATACGTTCATATAATAAGATAAACTTTTCGATCTAATATTTATATATTCATACTAATCCAAACAAATCTGTCGTACTAACATGTGAACTGGAAGGGTAATACAAGATACTAAGTTATCGTTTTCAATAAAGATTAAAACAGGAAAACCGTAACACAAACCCTGCGAGGCTTTTAATTTGGTGAGGCTTTTTAATTTAAGGCAAATACGCATTCGTAAAAATGACAACATAAAAAGGTGCAACCTTTGGAACCGGAAACTTATATGTCTTAGAGAGTGCGTACAATTACAGAAGTAATTGTCTGAAGCGAAGAGAAAAAACAATAAGTGTTTGAATGCCTTTGTCCGCACACGTGACGACATCACATGAAATTCTGGAACTTTCTCATCTTTACTAGATACACGTTCGTATGCATAATGTGCGATATAATAATAAAGATTATCAATCAGAAAATACTTTTAAATGGTTTTATTTACTGATCATTTCTGAATCTGATTATGTCTGTTCGAGTGCAAAGTTTTCGACGAATAAATGATTTCATGATGCACAATCGACATGCAAACTACATTTGATTCATATCGATATGGCTATATTTATTCATATACAGGTTCTTATATGTAGGAAGCCACGATCTACATTGAATCATATGGCTGTATTTATTCATATACAGGTTTGTATAGGAAGCCACGTTTTTCTTTTACATCTTCTATATGCATGTCGATATCTTATCTGCAAACAAAGTGTTATGTGTAGCATAACAGGGTGGTTATACAGAAAATTTTTGTGATATGTTAAAATATTTAATTATAATTACAAGAGTAAATCGTGAATTTTTGTGATTAACCATTACTTGTGGCTACTTTACATGACTTTATCATTTATTAATACTGTACGTCGTGCATGTAAATTTTACGAGTCGTATAATAAATCATTTATAATCTTGTTTGGCCTTCTTATTGGTTCTATTTATGCTCGTGATCCGCCACATTTCCTTTTTGATTAAAATTTTATTGGACTATATGATCCGAGCGGTATCCTCGGATCTATCTTTGCATGAGTATAAGTAATCAAAAATTTTTGTCGTATGTTGGAAGTTCTAATTAGACCATGCAAATCCTTATTATCGATTGGGCAAAGTACAATATGGTCGTGTCCAGCTATTAATAGTCAAAATTGCTAGCAAAAATAGCAAATTAGTAATCATTTACGTGCACATTACCCATTGTTTAAAGTACCCTTCTTGATACATCGATTAATATTTGATTGTCTCAATAATTGATATGAACGATACTTATTGGATGGCCAGCATTAATATACCTCATTTTAGTTCTTATTAAAATTCGACCAATATATCTATGAATTCAGAAATTACTAATTGTTCACCAACAAAAGGAAGGTCTTATATAGCTAGCTACTCATAATAATTTGGTAAAAATAGCGCTATTGTAGATGCTACGAATAGCTGGACACTTGATTACGACATTCTTCTCTTATCAATCAAACAACAAGATCCGGTAACGTGAAAATTGCGCAAATAACCAAGTTCCCATTAAACTACCTTACATGTTTTAAAATTTTTTCTTGCAACATTTTAGTAGTAGTTTTTCACCTGACCTTAATATTAATTACAATGATAAATTTTGTAATTAAAACACATGTAAATTGTTGTAGTAATACTTTTTTTTCATTTATTTATTTAATAATAGGCCTTCCTAAAATTAGATTCTAAATTTAGTTCTTTTAAATGCATGAATAATTCCTAGACTTCTCCCAAATAAATTTATTTTATATACCTGTGGTGATCATTTCGGTGGTATAAAATAAATAAATTGCGCGATAATTAGGGTACGGGTTAGATTAAATTTAGGATCATAATCTTGCAATTAGTTTTTTTTTTTAGAACATGAAAGATTGATTGAGTTACAACCATTTTTTTTTTTTGAATTTTATTTATGTTACACATGATTGCATTTTTTTGAAAATTTTTTAATTATTATGTTACACCCCATTTCGTGTTATTCACACCGATGATCATTACCACAAGCGAAAAATAGGAAATCTTTCGAAAATTCTATTGATAGATAAATCTAAGAACACCCTAAATATAATTTTAATTATAGACTCTGCAAAAAATTGTCTTAATTCATGAGGTAGCTGTGTGACAACGTCGTACAAAACCAGGCATACGTACGTAGTATCAAGATATACTTATCAGTTATACGTAGATATAAGATTCTTAGAATTTTATTATTATTAATTATACAATGAATATCAGTATCTGTCAATATGAATCATTTGTTTTAAGTATTATTGATTATTAAATAATGTGAATAAAAGATCTTAAATAAAAAAAAAAAAAGATATTGTATAACGGTAAATATTTACGAGCTTAGATGGCTTATTTATTGTTAAATGCATCAACTAGTAAAAGCTTGGCACAAATTAATACGGATAAAACAAACATAAAGGTAAATATCAATGAGTAACTTATTCTAGATACATATATTTTTAAATTATTTTTATTGCTAATTAACACGATATTGTATTATACTAAATACCTGTGAATAACTTATTTTAAATAAGTCGATTAGTTCTTTGTCCTCACCTACAAAATCGACATTATTAATAAAAAGTATACATTTTATTAGTCAAAATAACAAATACACAAAAACTGCTAAAGATCCGGATAAAAGTTTGTAAATCTAGATTGTCTAGATTGGGCATTAGCGTAACAATCAAAAAAATTAACATATTGAATAGCGCCTTCTACACGCCTTTTGACCAAACGATTGATTAATATTCGATCAATAATTGGTAAGCATTCGACTTCTTTGCCAAATGTGTATTGACTGAATGTTTACCGATCGATGATCAAATATTTGTCCCGATTGATGATCAATCATTGTCCGTATGATCTCTTTTTGCAGTAGCTTGTTGGTCTAATTATTCAGAATCAGTTGTTTATTATTTAGCCCAAGTAATCAATAAATATACATTGCAAGTTTTGTTAGAACATGCATGTTCATGTAGCTCTCGAGTCTTATGGGGTAAAATCTGTTAAACAGAATATAGCTCTTTAAAAAATTCCAGATGTGAGGATGGTAATCCTAGTGTAGTGGTTAGGTTGTCATTCTCCAAGTGGCAGGTCTAAGGTTCAAATCTCACTTACAATGAAATTTGGAAATTAACCTGTATTACAAAAAACTGTCTTCTGTTAATTAGTTAGTCTTATACAACTGTAATCAGGTACATCAAGTTAGGTGGTATTCATTATTAGGAGCTTGGGAGATCTATATGAAGTGTAATGTTATTGTATAAAATTTCAATGCAAGTTTATGATAAAATTATTGGGTACATAAGACTAAAGAACTGAAAAAACAAAATCTTATATAGTAATTTCTAAATAAAAAGATAATACAAATTTTTAATAAGGATGGGGTCCTGTAGCCTAGTGGTCTAGGCACCCTCTTTCTACAGACAAGGTTGACAGTTTAATCCCAGCTGAAGGCAACTCTATAATCTACGAAAGCATATGAATGTACATGAAGCCTTGTAGTTAAGTCCATATGATTAGAAGATTGGTGTATAAGGAAGTTTCTGAAAAAAAGATTCCTGATATGAAGTATTAATACTCAATGCGAGAGAAGCAGTGAACATACCAGAAATGGAGAGAAGATGTACTAACAGGTAATATAGTAAATATAAAAGGAAACTATGGAAAAGGAATAGATTTATCAAAATTCAAACACTTCTGGCACTAAACTGGTTCTAGTAGATATAGGATCTACTAAAATTGGATAAATCTAAGAGGTAATCTTGGTACCATACTTAGTAAGTCTGCATCAAGGATAAATTTGAGGAACTATGGATACCTGGTAACATCCAATAAGGTGATATCTTGATACGATACCAGGCAGCAAGAAACATCCAATTTTTAATAAAAGTGTCAAATTTGTTATAGGTAACACAACTTATGATTAGCTAATTTTTATGTAGATCAATTACATGTAATATTAATGATTGGTCACTAAATTTATAGATTAGAGTATTTAATAACCGGTAATTAAATCTTTAAAATAAATTTAAAATTAATAATTTTAAATTTATTTTTCTTTTGAAAGCTTGTGTTTTTTTTTAAATGAATGCTTCGAAGTGAAAACCTGAAATTTAAAGGTTGTACCCATAGTAAAAATCTTAACTTGGATATTATTAAATTATCTGATTATTTACTGTTATATGTATAGGTAATTATTTTTAAATACAGACTAAAATGTTACCATATTCTAAAATTTCTACTTTGATATAAGTGAAGGCTCAAGTTTGCCATAGCAAATTTAGTTCTAAAGAATTGATATTGATAAGCAGGTTTTACATTTACTTGCCATTAAATGATAACTGGAATGAAAGAACATATTTATTAAAAAATTTTACTGTGATGGCATTCTTCATAAAGTTGTAATGTTTTGAGAATTTGTCTTGTCTAATGCATTCATGCACTTCTTTACCAATATATTTTCAATAATAGAGAATTGATTTTAATTTGATTAATAGTTGCAAATTAACTTATTAGAGGTTTATTATAGTGCTTTGCAAAAAGAGATGACTTTGTGATTTTTGTAACAGTGATAGTAAGAATTTTAAATTGCCTATCAGTCATATTTTTCAATTATATTTGTTCAAAATCTTTAAAATTGTCGAATAATCACAAAGATTAGCTAATTTTCATTGATTTTATGATACACCCTTTTGCAAACTGTTTATTTTGAAATAAGTAAGAGTTTAAAAAATTGAAATAAAAAAATAATTAGCATACTTGAAGATAAATTAGCTTTTTTGATAACCTTTACTAGTAAGTGATTATGTAAATTACCTTCTAAATCAGGAATATTCTAAAGACAGGTAGTTTGCAAGTTGATTAATTATAAATTTGTAAAGTAAAGGTCATGTAATGCAAATAAATTACTACCTGGCTTTAGACGATCCCTAAATTAGAACGAGAACAAAATAATTATATTTAGAGTTCTTAGAAATTTTAAATATTATTATTGATCATTACTGTTTAGTGACAATGTATATATGGTATATAGAATATTTAAATTTTAAAGATTTACAATTTGAATTACTAAATTACTGAATTTTTTAAAGATGTTTTGAATAATTAACTTTATTGTAAAATCACATTAATAAATTACATATATCAGTTAAAATGCATAAAATTTTAAATGATAAAAAAAAATAACAATAAAAAATTAAATGAATATTCTAAATTTTGAAGATAAACCAGATAAGTAACCTTATTATTTTAAGAACTCACTAACCCAATTCATAATTTCTTCATTAATCGTTCTATGTTTTCTACTTTTTTTAACAGCATATTCAGCCACTTTTTCTGTTAATCCATAATGATAAACATCCATCCATCTATATGAAAGCCTTGCAAAATAGTGAATTTGCTTAACAGAAATAGAATCGAAAGCTTCACAAATTGTTTTTCTAGTTTTTAAAAATGAATATTCACAGTGAGATCGTGTATATCTCTTTGCCATTCTTCAATACATTTCAATATAGTTGAACTCTGGATGAAATTTAGGATAAAATAAAACTTTATGTCTACAAGATTCAATTTCTTGTTGAATCTGACCACACTGTTCAAGAAAGTCTGTTTAATTAGATATTAACCGATGCATACAGCAATCGATAATATTAGGATCTGCCTTTTTTTTTTTGCATGAAATATACTCAAGCACCATACTATCTTTCCATAACCCTCTATTACTTAGAACCCATTGAATTCCTTTGGGTTGCCTATGTAAATTAATATGTTTTTTTTTTTATCATAAATGAAATGATCCTCTTCAATAATCATTAATTGACAACCACCACTTCACATTATATCCTGCATTTTCAGAACTGATCCGACTGGGCCAAGGTTCATCTTGGAAGCAACAAGGGCATCTTCAGCAAAAGCCTTGTGAGATGTTGCATTATTAAAAACAAACACACCCACACATTCTGAATGTGTTCTCTCAAAAATGTCAACAGCCTATACAACTTGTTCTAATAGTTTTTTAGAATCCCAATAGCCATCTTGGTTGGTATCCAAAACCTGCAAATTTAAAAATAAATAAATAAAAATGATATTAGATTTTACTATTTTCATATTATTTAAAAACATACCATCATTAAATGTGCTTCTTCTTGTTCATCTTTAAATGGCCTTATAGTTTCTGTCAAAAAATCACTTACATGCACAGCAGAACCCAAACCCTTTTTTTGTAATAGTTGCTCTTTTTCTGGACCCCACATAGAATGTAGCCTATCATAAATATAAAAAGTAGTTTCATTATGAGTCATCCATATATGCTCTTTTTTACTATTGTTTAAATCTAGAAATGTTCTAATTTTGCATTCAGGGTCAACCCATTTAGACATTAATTGCTCGAGTTGGCTAACCACTTCAAGAAATTTTTGACGATATTTGACAACATTTGGGCATTTATGACCATCAATATATGCACCTTTTTGATAACATTGATACCAGAAACCAAGTTTGTGCATCCATCAATGGCAAGTTCAGATTGATATATTTTAAACCAATTTGATGTTTAGCTGAGAAAGAATATTTTGTTCAAAGTAGTTTTTGATCATAATAGAGTCTACTTTAAACTTTTGGGAGTGCAAATAGGCTGCCAACTGGATAGAGGCCAACTCATTATGAAGAAAACTTTTTGACAAAAATCTACCTCGAAGGTCAAGTTCAATTAATTTCTTCTTCATATATTTATTTGCCTACTTTCTGATATATCTCCCAAGCTATGGACCACAATCAACCATATCTGTAACTGCTTTTGCTGCTTTTATTTTTTTTGACCTTTTAGAAATAACCGAAAAAAATAAAGAACTGACAAATAACAAGCTTTTTCTACTTTTGAAAGTGTTTTTTCATTCATTATTTTATTCACAAATTCAATTGCACTGCAGATTTTCTTTTTTTCCTTGCTCAATTTCTTGCTAAATTCCTTGCTCAATTCCTTGCTCAATTCCTCACTCAATTTCTCGCTCAATTCATCACTCAATTTATCATTCAGTTCATCATTCAGCTTATCATTCCATTCACAATTCAGTCTTTCATTTAATTCTTGAACCTATGAATTAATATCACTTTTATATCAAAGTACTGATTTCTTTATAATGCAATAATATAATTTTCCTACCTAATACTCCTGGCCTTGGAGGTTTTTAGCATCCTCATTATTATTAATAACTGACATTTGAGTATTATTAAAATAGTGAGAAAGTTTTAAACTTCCTTTTGGGCTTCTCTGAATATTTTATTCTTTCTTTGTCTCGTACATTTAGAATTTTCAATGTAGATAGCAGGTTGCCTTTTTTTTTTAAAACTTATTTGTGAAGCTGCAAAAAGTCACTCAATGATTAAATTTTTGCTATAATTATCTAGATCCAATAAATCATCATCTGGGCTTTTACTTAAATTTTTGCTACTTGAATCAAGATCAATGAGTGAATATTTTGTACATGCAGAGCGAGCTATTTTAGCCTTTTCTTTTCATAACTTTCTAATATCCGTAAGTTTAGGCATGATGAAATTTAAAATATATTGTTTTTTTTTTTTTTTGTTTAATTTCTTTGTGTGGTGCAATTGTACATTATATATCAAAACCATTATATAAAAGAAAAAAAAAAAAACAGATAATCTAAATGTTCATAGCGAAACATGTAACAACAGGCTTGAGTTAACAACTTTATTATTTGCTTGAAATTGGTTAATATGTAGAAAGAAAAATCCAGTGTACTCCAACAATCACCTGCCTCTTTTATATATGACTATAATTTTTTTACAACAATGTATTAATGTTAAAGGTTAAGTATTACATTCAATTATGCCTTTACATTCATATAACATAAAGTGGACAAAATAATACTAATATGTACAGTATGTATGAATCCTTTGATTGCACATGTTATATGTATGTACATATGTATGGGTCCAAAAAAAATATATACTTTCAAAGATTTTTCATATAAAATTGCATGTTTCTTAATGCTTTAGCTGTTAGATTTTTTTAAGGTTTAATATCTCACACACTCAAATATATCAATTTTAATAATAATTATATATCAGCCAGGATCATTTTCCATTAACTTTAATCTACTGTTACCTCTCAAAGACTTAGCTTTTTCTATTATTTTGCCCTTTTTATATTGTGATATATTTTAACTTCAATTTACTTTCATTTCGTCATTCTATTGTTACCAAATTTATAATGACACATATGATCATAACTTCATCAGTGAATGCCACCAAAAGAAAGTCTGTCATTGGGGTTGTATATTTATTGGTTGCCGAACTCAGTTTATCTGATTTATTAGACAGCAATTTAATGATAAATTTAAAGCCAGATAACAGGTTTTTTCCTTAGTGGAACTCATAATAGGAGATAAGCCAATAGAATTGCATGCATATAACTAAATGCATCATGATTGGTTAATTTACTCTGTGCCAAATTTCAATTCTATTATAAAAGTTGAAGAGATTTAAATCAGTATAACTTTTTTAAAATATGAAATATTAAAAATCTGTCTTACAGATTTGTAGTTTAGATCATAAATAACAAATTTGTAAAAGCATTTTTAGGATAATAGTTTTTTATTAAATTATTTGATTTTAAGTAAAAGCAAAAAAATTGGATGTTTCTTGCTGTTCAGTACTGTAGTAGAAATTAGGTCAATAGGAACTAAACCAAATAGGGTAAAAATAAGAGATGGCATGTGTGAAGAGTTATGTAATTTAAAGCTATTAAGTATAAAAATTTCATAATGTAAATTAAAAACAAGATTGAAGAACATGTCAAAAGCAGTAGCATTTAAAATACAATTAAAAGAATTAAAGATTAAGTTATAAATTGTTTGAATAGAAAGACAAAGAGTCCAGTATAATGAAGAGCTAGTTTGATTGCATTAGTGACAGAAAGGAGAGTAAAAGGAGTTTTGTTGTAAAGAGTATAGAAACAGATAGCTCATTCAAAAGAATATTAACACAGAAGATTTTTAAAGTAGAAAAATAAAAACTATGGACAAAGTTAGAAACCTTTTAATTATTATTGATGTAAAGTCAAATAGATTTTTAGTTAATATTAGAAGCAATAGTAGACCATTTTTGGAAATAATATTAAAATGTTCAAAGTGTTATGATGTAAGCTTGATATATAGTATAAATAGAGCATGAAATAGGAATCTTAATAGAAAATTGGTCAATAAATGAAGTATAGGTAGGGTTATAAGAGTTGTTAGTTAAGGATGTTAAAAAGAATAGTATTTGGTAATTACAAGCAAGTTGGTTATTAAAATTATTATTTTTTTTTTTTTTTGCTTACGCTAAGGCCTTTTAGTTATGGCGACTACTGCCTTTATTGTGCATTCAATTATGATTACATAACTTGTACAAGGTTACCCCTATACTACACTAGCAGATAGCAGCACAAGCTCTCATACA